TGCTTTCCAATACTCTGTTGCTATTTCCAAGCCTGGAAGGTAAAACTGTACATGCTATTTAAACCCAGAAAAACAGGTCTAAGCATTCCACTTACTTGATGACACTGCTCAGCATGTTCTCACATGCATATGGGTGAGGTGCCCCATATAAGTCATGGCACTTACAGTTGACAGCCAGGTGAGGCAAGACCATCGAACAGAATTATACTGCTAGTTATAATGTAGGTATATCTGTGTACACATAAAACACATGTTCTGTAAAAAAGCGTATGTGTAGTCCTATAGACTATAACCACATGGGGTAGAACAATGCCTTTATGTCACAAGATTTTACACAGGAGAAAAAAAATTTTTTGAGTAATCTTGACAGACCTACACCCAATTTTACAAAAGCAATTATGGTCAGGGGCAATTATTCACACTCTACAGATTCTTCACCTTCTAAAAACGATTTACTCAAATCCTACTAACCTGCATGGGTTGTATTGCTTTTAGAATAGGATTGAGGGACCTCTTTTGTGGCACAGGGGTTAAAATCTCAGCGCTATCAAGATATTACTAGCCACTGTGGCATGAGTTCAATCCCTGGCTAAGGGAATGGACCCACATGGCACAGCAGACCTCTCCTTTCTCACCCATTGCTCCCCTCAAAAGTGTATTTCAGTAGATCCACCTGGTCTGATCCCCACTTTGCTTCTGGTGAATCTTCTCACCCCACACACACCTCTGGCCTACACCCCAGTTCTTGTATGCATAAATAAGTAAATCTTCAAAAACGAATAAAAAGAAGGGCCCTCCCTGGTGGTGCAAGGGTTCAAAGCTCAGCACCACTGCAGCACGAGTTCTATCCCCGACCAAGTTGCTGGCCCACATGGCACAGTAGACCTCTCCTGACCCACCCACTGCTCTGCTCAGCAGTGTACTTCACCCACCTGCCTGTTCTGCTCCCCACTCTAACCCTCGTAAATCCTCTCACACACACCCAAATCTCTGGCCTATACCCCAGTTCTGTAGACACAAATAAATAACTCTTTGTTTAAAAAAAAAAAAAAAAAAAAAGCGCTCCACGATCAGAGTTAAATTCATGTCTTTGGAAGTACTAGATATTTGATCCTGCAGATGCTACTTCATCTCCCTGTCCCTCGACAACTGTAAAGGAGATACAACACAGTGTCCACTCACAGGGCCCTAAGGCATGTTGAAATAAAACTCACAATCATGCGGGCACGCAGAACACACTACTAAATGTTACCTCTTAGTGCTTGTTCTCACCACTTATGCCCATACCCATGGCCTGCTATTCTTTTTTACTTTTCTATTACAGTAACATAAATTTACAACACTTTATAGGTTTCAGGTAAACAGCGTCTCATTTTAGCTACTTATATATCACACCATGACCAACATCAAATGCCCAGACGGTCTCCATCTTAAATCCATTACTACATACTTTTCATCGTTTCCCCATTATTTATTTACTATGATCCCCTGTCATGTTCCAAAAACAATTTAATGTCAGCTTCTTTCAGTTTTTAAGTAGTACAATCTTATGGAAAACAGAAAATCAAGTAGGATGTTTGTAGGAGTACAGTCATCTGGTCACAGTCGCAAAACACCGGATGTGACCCTCACGCACAAATGATAGTGGTCCCATGAGAGACATCATAAGACAGGCCAGCAGCGCAATGAGGACTGTGGGCTCACTCAACAGACACTCAGAATACAGCTAAGAAAAAGGACATTATCCTACATGACATAATACTGCATCACACCAACAAATTGCACAATTGTAGAATACTACTATCTAATATAAAGCCTGTATCTATATTTCTCCAACTACCCTAAAAATGACCTTTTTCTCAAGGAAAATACAGGATGGTTTCACTCATAGCAGGAGTATAAAGGACCAGGGAGAAAATAATAATAATAATAATGAACAACTATATAGGGGGTGGAGTGGGGAATGGGATCAAAAATGGGTTTGAGGTGGGAGGAGTGCACTGGACTATGGTGATAGCACATTTTTTAAGCATCCAAGCAATTGTCTAGATTTGTCTTATGATTCAATTCAGGTGAAACATTTTTTGAGAAGTACTACACAATGGATATGTTAGATTTACACTGCAATACATGGGCGATTCATAATTGTTAGTATTACTATTTTTGATCATTTGGTTAAGGTGCTGTCACGGAAACCTTTTCATTGTATACAGGTATTCTTTTTCTCTTTATAACAGATGAATAATCTGTGGAGGAATTTTTTGAAGCCTTGTGAATATCTTCTTCCCCAACAATCTTTTTATCTACTGCTTTCAGTTTCAGCTGATAATCTGCCTGAATCAGTGATCACGTTAGTGTTTCAAAACTATCACTGGTGATGTTTTTACTGTGTGGGTGAAAGGAACCCTTACTACTAATCAAGTCCTATTTTTCCAATCACTTGCTTTAGAGTTTCAGCACTGTAACATCGTAACTATTTCAGAAGTTCATCTTCTTGGCTCCAAGTGACAGATGATTCATAACACCTGTTTTACATCTCTCTGATCTCTATCCACTTGAGTAGGTACAATAAATGGAAACAAACATGGATGCAAGGTTTAAGCAGTGGGCAGGGAGTTACCTATCTACAAACAAGAGGTTGCCTAGTCTTCAGAATACCATTTCCTATAGCAGATCAAATTAGGTCTATTTTCCCAAAGGTAGTTCATATCAGTGTTAATTTTAGGCATCTCAAGAAGGGAGACCTGGAGACAGAAGTGAGGCGGCAGACTCCTAGCACTGTTAAAGAACACCGCAAACCACATTAAGATGCTACCAGATCACACAGGCCAACTGCTTTAAAGGCCTGCTTCTCCTGCCCCTACAAGTGCTACTTTTTCCTGGTCATCTGGCCTTTACAGCCCAAATACTACCCCCAGGCCAGATGCCTCTCCCTTGAAACTGGTCAAGGGACAAAGATGCTCTGTCACACCTCTGGTCAACTGAACTGGTGTCCTGCTGGGGGCCTGGGAGTCAGTATGTTGCCAAGCTCCCACAGGATCTCATGAGCAATCAGATCTGAGAACGCTTACTTAGCCTCCAAGAGGGAATATAGGACACGTGATAGTAGATGGTAGGTAAGGATCAGTCCCTTCACATGACAGCTATCCTATTAACAACTTACTTCTAGGGTTCTGGAATGAGGGTAGAGGAGCTCAACCTAAAGGATCTATTACGTTCACGCTCAAGTTGAAAACGTCACATTACTTAAGAGAACTGCCAAATCTATGGCTCTCCAAATTCAGTCTCTACCAGAAGCAAATGAAAGGCTCACCCCCAGGGATTCTGAGGCAGGGATCTCTTGTGAGCCCAGGACTCTATGTTGGCAGGTCCTTCTACTGCAGATGATCCAAGGATCACACTGTGAGGGACCCTGGCCAGGATGCTGCTCTGCCCTTACCACTGGCAATCAAAGAGCAAAAGAACTGGATAAAAGTGAGGCCTTCATTTAAATGCTACTTACCAATTCAAAGAAATAAAACCTGGAAAATGTTTAAGCAATCAGCCACATTAAAACCTCAGATGATATGAAAACTTCCATATAACATGTTAAATTTTGCTCCATTTCTTATTTACAATAGGAAAGACATGGAATCAACCCCCAAATTCCCAAAAGTAGATGACTGGATTAAAAAGATGTGGTACGGCCCTCCCTGGTGGCGCAGCGGATTAAAGCACTGCACTAAGAAGCTAAAGCCACTTCCGCATGAGTTCGATTCCTGCCTGCCCGGGAGGTGACCACATGGCGTGGCAGACCTCTCCTGACCCGCCCGCTGCTCCCCTCAGCAGTGTACTTCGTTGATCTGCCTGTTCTGTACCCCACTCTGTCTCTGGTGAATCCTCTCACCCTCCGCATATCTGGCCTATACCCCAGTTCTATATGAATAAATAAATCTTTAAAAAAAAAAAAGATGTGGTACACACACACAATGGAATATCACTCAGTGATCAAGAAAGATAAACTCAAGCCTTTTGCAGCAACATGGGTGGAGCGGGAAGGGATCATGCTTAGTGAAATAAGTCAGAATGAAAAAGAAAAATACCAGATGGTTTCACTCCTAGGAGGAGCATAAAGGACCAGGGGGAAAAAATATAATAATGAACAACTATATACCAGAGACATTTTATGGCGGTGGAGTGGGGAATGAGATCAAAAATGGTGGGGGGAGTGCACAGGACTATGGTGATGGCACACAGGTGAATTAGTGATGGGAAGTCCACTGAGATGGAAAAAGACACAAAATGATGTAAAAATAAACTGTTAGAATAAAAAAACTTTTGCTCCGTTTCATCCAATGGGAGGACAACAAGCAGGCTGAGCCAACACTGTAAGAAAACCTATTCTTCAGCACAAAGCCTCCACACTTCAGGGTTCACATTAGGTCCCCAAGGGCACCGGGAATACAGGATCATTTGAATGATTACTCATCTCTCAAATCATCCAACTCGAAACACTATTTCTTACTGTCAAGGCCTTCACTGATTCTAGCTTCTCCTTTACACTGTGAAAAAAACAAGTTTCTGGCAATTTTTTGTCTCTCTTTGTCCCACCCTCTACTCATAACCCAAGCCTTAGCTAATACTAACGTGTGCTTATGGCCCTGGAAACAGAAAAGGCTAGGTCACTGGCAGCTGGGAATAAGAACAGCACACTAGTTACAGGAGAAACGGCAGACAGAGAAAGGGCGGGTCTGGCTGCAGACCGCCCAGGGCTCAGGTACGACAACAGTGGTGGGACTCCAGCAGCTGCGGGAGGGCACACTGACAGCTCCTTCTCTTCCATGGCCCAAGAGAGCTTTCTACTCAGGAATCCCAAGCAAAAAAAGCACCCCCACATGGTATAAATAGGGTGTCATAGGATAGGTGACATCACAAACATCAAACTGTACCTGGGAGTTCCCAAAGCCAACCGGGCTCATGGCAAAAGGACCACCACACCAGCCAGCTCCTGGGGCTCTTACCTGACTGGAACACGTATCTGGCCAAGCCCTGCATTAGCTCTGCTGGCCACGTTGGGGGGGCAGACTCCCCTGTTTCTCTCTTCAGACGAAATGTTAACTCAAAGCCAAAACCACTAGGTCCATCTGTTCCTGTAAATCTGAAACGAACAAAAAGCAAATGTTTTTAGTTCAACTACCTTAGGAAAAATAGTTTTGAAAGTTTTCTCCTTTTGAGGGGGACATCAGTATCCAAGCCCCCTATTCAGAGGAATCTCCCAGAGTGTGAGCCTTGAGGGGAAGAAAGGTGTTCACTGCCTGTGAAGAACAAAAAACTACCTTGCCCTCCTATCAGCTATGTACCTGTGTATGACCTTCGCCCAATCAAACTCCCCTGGTGGCACTCACTGTGAATTCATTTCCACACTTTATGGTTCTGGATCATTTCTTCTTGTATGATTACAGCTGCATTACTGAAAATCTTCTCTATTCATGTATCTCATTCCTTCAAGTGTAATAAGCACCTGTTTAGCTTGCTAATGTCCTACAATCTGTTCTGTGTGAATAAGACTCCCACCTGCACCACAAGAATACAATCCTCTCAGCTAGGTTGGCTGGCCCCCAGACTCAGTCTGGGAGGACGTGTTCTTGAAACCCTGCACCTCGTGAATATTTATCAAACATATGTTCTTCCTGAAAACTAACAACCAGTGTGAGGTAAGGCCATCCACACGTGGCCCAGAATGAAGTTGCAGTCTCTGTGGTCATGCTCATCTCAGAGACTACAAAGCAAAGAAGGAAGGCCTGCCTCCCCGCCAGCTGGGAAACGCTCAGAAGTCCTGCATCTCCAGAAAGTCCCTGAAATGAACTTGTGCCAGAGAGGGGAAATGATGTGCACTGGAGAGCAAGACTTGGGTGGGGGGACATGCCTCCTCAAGTAAGGGATGCACCCAGAGAGATAAAGGAGGCTTGCCAGTATGGAAATGGTTAAAAGTTAAAGTGTGTTCATGTATAATTTTTAGTAATTATATCTTGTACAAACATGAGCCACAATGATTATACACATGTAAATTCCTCAGCATACAAATACAAACCATAAACTAAGATGACAGCCAACTCTCCCTTGTGAGCCAAGCTACTGAACAGTCGGTAAGAGGGGAGAATTCTGAAAGGATGGTGATGCAGTCGATGCCCAGCCCTTGACTTCTATATGGTACCTTTCCTTCATCATCACCCCAAAGAGGTCAGGCCAGGAGAGTGACCCAAAGTCTCAGAAGCTCTGACACCAGCCCCAGCCTTGCCAGCGTGCCCAGCACTTCTGCACTTGCGGCAGTGGAGATGTTTCTGAGAAGCTCATTTCTCTAAAGGCCAAAAAGGAACCCTGGAAGTTTTCATGGTCGTACACTATTATACTTAAGGAAGATATCCATGGCTTGGTTTTCCTCTAGCTATCTAGCAATGTGGAAAGCAAACTTCATTTTTTTTCTTTTTTGTATTTAGAAGAACCAGGATGTAAGACAGAGGTGCAGGGGGTGAGAGAACTCACAAGAGGCAAAGTGGGGAACAAAATAGGTAGACTCCCTGAAACACACTGCTGGAAGAGCAGGAGGCAGACAGGAGATGTCTGCTGCGCCATATGTGGGATCGGTTCCCTGGCCGGGAATCGAAGTCATGGCGTAGAGGTAGGTGGTAAGTGCTGAGACTTAACCGCTAGGACACCACAGAGGCCATCAAACTCCATTTTGAGGGTACACACCACCTAGAACTCGGGGGAGGGGAAGGGCATGCTAGAAGAAGATGCTTGGCAGGACACAGTACAGGCTACTTTTCCTTGCTGAACTGCCCCTCTGCAGAGCGGCTGAGGGAATACCTGAGCAAACTAAGGTTGGAAGAGCTACTCCCCAGAGGCTGCTGGCTTGAGCGGGGTGTAATAACCTGGGGAAACACAGGAATGGCTGGGAGTTAGATGTCTACAAAGGGAGATGGGTCAGTAGGGCAAAGGGAAGATTTCAAGCAGTCGCCAATTAGAGGCAGCTTTGTAAAACACATTATACCACTGCTCCAGGGCTTTCATCTTGGGCCAAGAAAAATACATGATTTCTAACCGCAAAAACTTGAAAAAGACTAAAAGGAACACGTTCCTTGGTTGTGCAACAGGGAGTAAGCTCAGATGCAGAAAGGGAAGTCACAGGCTTTCCAGCAGCACCATCTTTCTAAGAGGGCGGCACACACGCACACAAGCGCACGGGTGTGCATGCACGCACATGCATGTGTACGCCATCTGCCTCCACTCGGGGTGCTTTGGGGCCGGCTCGGTGGTGGGCAGGCCAGCCCTCACTCGGCTGGGTGGGAGGGACAGGCCCAGCCAGATGGTCTCCACCTGCGTTTGATTACCACCCACCAGGCTGGCTGGACACAGCCTCTAAACTCTGAAACATGAGTTTGGAGTGGCCCAGGCTCAGGGTAAACACAAAACCTGGAGCCTATCAGAAGATCTTTAAAAAAAAAAAAAAAAAAGCAGAGGGCCTAGCCAATAGCCAAGTGACAAGGTTTTCAAGTTCTGCAGAAGGGCCTGGTGTGCTCCAAACTTTCTATCTGGGGGCTTCTCCAACCAATGTGATTTTGTCCAACCAGAGGATGATGCTACTCCTAGGGAGAGCATCCTCTCATCCCCTGAGAAAGGAAAGCATGAGAGGAAACTGGCATGTGTTGTGAAAGGTGGGATCTGGGTCAGAGCAAAGAATTTTTCTAATATAAGAGGCTGCTAAAATAGAGACCAGGATTTTTAAAGAATATATTACAAATTCTCCCCAGTCTTGTAGGGTGGGAGTGAGGGATTACAAACATCTTGCTGCAGAAGGATGTATGAGATGGCTTCTGAAAATTCTTCAGTGAGGTATCTGGGAAGAGACTGCCTTTGTCCCAGTGGTTTGATGAGCCTATGGCATGGACTGTGCCAACCTCAAAGCAGCATCAGATCTGCCAACAAGAACATATGCTCTGAATCCTAAGCAGTTGCCTGACCACAGCAACATGCCCAAAGGTCTCCACTAAAACACCTAAGAAAATACCAATCAAACCTCTAAGAGGCCAGAAAGACTGATAACTCCAAGCAGAAAATGAACAGCAACCCAGGAGAGACTTCCTGGAGGAAACAACAGCAGGCAGAAAAAATTAAACTAAAAGTTGGCATCAACACTATTAGTAATTAGGGAAATTCAAACCACAATGAGGTTTGAGATTTGAACATTCATACATGGTGGGAAAATGATAGAGCTGCTTTGGAAAACAGTTTGACAGTTCACCAAATACTTAACCATACCATATGACCCAGCAATTCCACCCTATATTACTGAGAGAAATAAAATATAGGTTTACACAGAAACAAATACACTAATGTAACATTATGGGTAATCACCAAAAAGTGGAAAGCCACCCAAATGTCATGAATGGACGAATGGGTAAACAAAACGCATAATGGAATATTATTTGGTAATAAAAAAGAGTAGCATACTGCTAGTACAACATGGATGAACCCTGAAAGCATTATGCTAAGTAAATAAAGCCAGACAAAAGGGCCACATACATATGATTCCTTTTATATGAAATGTGCATAATAGATAAACCCATAGAGACAGAAAGTCAGTAAGTGGATCAGTAGTTGCCAGGAGGCAGGGAAGAAAAGAATGGGAAAATGAGTAGCATTTCTTTTTGGGGTGACAGAAATTTTCTGAAACTAAATACTGGTGACAGCTGTACAAACTTGCTAGTAAAGTAAAAGCCACTGCCACTTAATTATACATTTTTTTAAAGATTTATTTATTTATTCATATAGAACTGGGGTACAGGCCAGAGATGCGGAGGGTGAGAGGATTCACCAGAGACAGAGTGGGGAGCAGAACAGGCAGATCTACAAAGTACACTGCTGAGGGGAGCAGCGGGCAGGTCAGGAGAGGTCTGCCACGCCATGTGGTCACCTCCGGGGGAGGCGGAATCGAACTCATGCAGAATTGGCTTAAGCTTCTTAGTGCTGGCTTTAACCCAATGCGCCACCAGGGAGGGCCTAATTATACATTTTAAAAGGGTGAATTTCATGGTATGTGAACTACAGCTTAAGAAAGAAAAAGATGTCTTCTTAGGGACACCTAAATGCTAGGGGAACCGGGGTCACCCAGGCCAAGTAAGCCAGGCCTTCCCAGCTGACTATTTATGACTTCTAAGGTAAAGGGAACAACTACTTTAAGTCTGAGGTCTTGGATTAAACACGTTCTCAGGTCATTGTCATATGGTTTAATTGTGTTCTTAGTTCCTATCTTTTATTAATAAATACAGTTACTGGTCTTCTGGTTTGTTGAAACACAGGTCAGACAACTTTTGCCACAACAATGTCTGTCAGAGCAGCAGGCCATAAAAATGACGGGGGACTCCCAATGCAGGTGACTGCTATTCCCACTCTCGTCCATTTATAATACTTCAGGACAGCCAATTTAACTGTCTTTCTCTTAGGCTTATCTTCCTTGACAGTAGACTTCTTCCTTGCCTTAGCATTACCATGCGGTCTCAAGACAAAATGAAGAGTGGACTCTTTCTGACAAAAGCTGTCCATCTTCCAGTGGCTTGCCAACAAAGATAAGTCCTTGCTGATCAGAAGGAATTCTCTCCTTATCTGAATCTTGGTCTTTACATTTTCTATTGTACCCAAGGGGTCAGCCTCGAGAGGGAAAGGTTTTCATGACAATCTGCATCTAGGCAGCAGATCCATCACACATCAAAAAGTGTCACAGCATTTAGTTCTTCAGCAACTCTAGTACTCAACCACTGTTATCTTCATTTAACTCACATGAAAAAGATACTTGAGAAAGCCTAAGTAACATTCTGCAAATCACACAACAAGCCAGCAGTGGAGCTAAGACTAAAGGCCGCTTGATTCCATGCCCCATTTTCTTAGTGCTATGTAACCTCAGGAAAGACATGTAACTTTTCTGTGGATCATCTGTAAAATGTTAATAACAACAGTAATGATTTCAGAGTTGTTATGAGAACAACTTTTAGAAGCTAAAAAACAACAAATAAATGTTAAGAAACTACTAGCACTCTGCAAGCATTACAGCATACTCTACAAGAAAGCAGCCAGTCACAAAAGGCCACATGGTGCATGACT